CTATATATATATATATATATATATATATATAAATATATATATATATATATATATATATATATATATATATATATATATATATATATATATATATATATATATATATATATATATATATATATATATATATATATATATATATATAGGGATTGACTCCAGTGAGATGACACCTTATGGTAAGATCACATGCTACAGTCAGATGACGCAAAGCTCACCACGAGCCACTGTAAAGCTCACCAAAGTATAAAGCAAAGCTCACCATATTTTTTCAACACTTTGAATTTTTTTTAGAAAAAATAAAATCAAAGGGGTGATGACTAGATTTTGACTGTTGACCGGGACCTTTGACCGCCGCCTACTGCCTGCCACCACTGGCCGCTGCCGCCGCTCTTCCGCCAGTCGCCGGCCACTTCCGCCAGTCGCCACCGCTCCGCCGCCGGTTGGTGGTCATCGGTCGCCGGCCGCCGGTCACTTGTTACCGGTCGCCGTCGCTGCACCGCCGCCTCTGACCGGTGGTTGACCAGTGTTGTTATTTTATTTTTTATTAATTTTTAAATTTTCAAAATTTAAGAAAAAAGTGAGTTTTGGTATTCAAAATGGTGAGCTTTGCTTCATTTCTAGGTGAGTTTTGCATTGTCCATTGGTGAGCTTTGTAGTGTTGTGTTGTGAGCTTGGCGTGAGCTTTCTAGGTGAGCTTTGCATTGTCCTTTATATATAATATTTGGGAGTTAAACTCCCAGAAATTCGACATGTGCAGGCTACTTGGCAATTTTTTTACACATCATCAGCCACATTTGATGACTTAAGTAACTTGGCAATTTTAACTTAAAGTATGAAAACATCTTATTAGAGCAAATATGCATTCCCAATTATTGCACATATGAAAAACGTTTACGAGGTATATGTAAAGTAATTATTATTAGGAGGTTATAAATGTTAATTATAAAAAACTTTCAATTAATTGCTAATGACATTTATTGGCTAATCCTTCCTTTTATTATAAAATTTGAGACTCTGGCTTACATGATATTGGCATATCATGAGCTAATATGACATTTTTAATAAATCATCTGTTGTCTATTTA